TATGACTAATCATTCATATAATAATTAGTACACCTTCATTTAACAAGTCACGAAATACTGAATAATATATCTTGAAAAACATTGGACTAATACATAAACCAAAAGGAGCTTTAAGAAATTCGTAGATACATTAGGTGTTACAAATGCGGGTGTATTTGGTGCAATTTTCGTCTATGTCTACGTGGAAAAAGCCATTTTCAAATCTAGTGTCATGAAGACTTTTGACTGTTCTAAGCGATCAAGTACTTCCGGAATTAAAGGCAGTGGAAATTTGTCTGTAATAATAAAATAATCTTCTTATTTAATTTCCGATAGTCAATGCATGATCTTTTAGAATTATCCCGCCTGTTACACAAAACAATAGGAGCCGCATAGTTAGAGTTGCTAGGCTTTATTATTCTTTTCCTTCAGCCATTCCTTAATTTGATCCTCAACAATTTTTTGTTCCGCGAAAGACATGTATCTTCTGTTTTGACAGACAGGAATTTCATCGCATAAATTTATTTGCATCTTGAAGTCAGATTGTGCTTATTTTTCCGAGGCTGGTACGAATTAGTTAAATTACACAGTCTTTCTTTATGTTTTGCATTCGAAATATGCGATAAATCAATCTGTTGCCAGAAATAGCATTCACCAGATGTGGAAAGGTAATTAATTTTCAAGCCACTTCCGCTTTCGGGGTTTTTGTTTACATAACAGAGACGCCAGACGATTGCGAAGGATCATAAACAGTCTTCAATGAGACAGCAATATTCAAATTTCCCATAACAACGAACATTAGAATTTCGAGATGACTCAGCAGTTATCAAGTTTACATTACTTTTATTCCGATGAGAAATTATTTGAAGGCCATTCTCGGTAAAAGAGAAGTTAAACTGATTCAGTACACCAAATCTAATACAATTTGATTACATAATGACTTACAACATAAATTTTTCGTACGAAGTGAAAAACTATCAATTGAAATATCAGAAATGAAAAAGCTGATGGGGTACGTTGCTTGATTCAATTCCTTTTAATGTGATATCGCTACAATTAAATTAGGAGAACCAATCTGCTTGTGTAACTCTACGCTGCATATCGTTACATCTGCACCAGTGTCAACCAACTATCAACTAAATGATTATTTATTTCTACAGTCTTCATAATTCTATCTTTATCGGAAATTCGTTGTACGTATTAAACCTTGTTTCTCGGGGTTCTGGCTTTGACAATCAGTTGATTTATGCCCAAACGTTTTATATTGAAAACATTTTATCCCCTTCAATTTGTTTACACAGTGAGTTGACTTATGCCCAAATTCCTCGCAAGTAAAACATTTGACCTTATTAACGTTAGATTGATTTCGGTTTGATAAAGCAAGCTTACTTCTATCTTTAACTTGAGTGTCTACTTTCGCTATCTTGTATCTGGCCTTTCGGTTTCGGATTTTTAAACTTATCATTGTCCGATCTCATTTTATCATAAATTTTTAGCCTTTGTTTAAATTCAGATATTGTTTCGCAACCATATAATATAGTTTTCCTAACCCAGAATCGGGAATACCATCAATACATATTAATTAATGAAGCATCTTCAATGTTACCCACCACCTCGCGAACACATTTCTTTCATTCTCAAAAATACTCATCTAAAGATTCATTAGGCATCATTTACGTTTACATAACATTCATGCAACTCAGCAGAATTAAAAGCTTTACCATATTCAGATTTCAAAAGCTTTTTTTAACTTACACCAATCATTAACTTTAGGTTCACTCTGAATAAATAGTTTCACTTTACCTTTTAATGATCTTTTAGCAAAAACTAATTTTGCAAATCACTCAATTTCAAAGAGTTTATACATCTTCAAATTCATCAATCCATTTATCAACATTTTCATATGCATTACCAAAAAAGGATTAACAATACTTTCAATATCAGAAAACTAAGATGAGGTTTAAAATGATCTTGAATTGGAGCTGATACTGTTATTTACTTGAACTCATTAAAAACCAGGATGTCTCTTTGATATCATCAAGCATTACTTCAGAAATTTTATTACTATTTCATCTTAACCTATTTTCTTCATGCAAAATATTTCAAATAATACAGATAAATCACATAGGAAAGAGAATTCGGATTACGACTCCGTTTTTGAAAAACCCTCTGAATTTGGCAACAATTGCAAACTTAATTAACTCATGCAACAAATAAAACTATTCTGCACTGTATCTTTTTCTTATTATAATTCTTCAGAATCGGTTTTCAATACAAGCCAGAAAATTCACGTAACTCTGTTCCGTTATTTCATCCCTCATATTAAAATAAGCTTATGGCAAACTTTTGATTTCAAACTTTTACTGTTCTTTAAGCTCTTCCATTCTAATTTCTCCTAACTTCAAGTGGAAAGAAGTTTGTACTCCCCAGACAGATATCGTCGTCATTTGTAATCCACACTTTATCGAGTAATCCATAATCGAATAACTTTCCACTCAGTGTTCAAAGGACAGTTCAACTAGTCTATCGCACATTTGGAATCGAGGCCGCACTTGTCCCATTTTTTTTTTTTTTAGAATTTGACTTATCCAGCATGAAGCAGAGTAATATTTAATGGTTTATTTAATATGAAGAAATAAAAGTATTCCAAAAGTTATAAAGATGAAGTTAACGTATGATTACATAATGGTACAGGCTAAACATCGAGCAAATCTAAGTTCATAACTCTTGAAGACGGGTGAGCTTCTGCTCACGTTCCCCCGACTCTCGAAATATCATCGCTGTCTGGATGATTCTTACTGTCGAGTGACTAGTCTGAATGACTGTCAAACGGGCAATTCTACTTCAGCTTGGACTTTGTGATTTCCACTTTATTGTTTACAAAAAGGGTCTGCTCTGTAATGTTCTAGCATATTTCTTCAAATTCTGTCAGATCTTGAAGTTTGGTATTTTGTCTTTTTTAAATTGAAGCTCCCGCCCTTGTGCAAGCTTTTGCAAAATAATATACATCAACAAGTTCACTAAAATTAACTATTTGATCTAATTTTCCATGAGCGAGTTATTTCATTTATATTATCTACTAAAGTAATGTCAAGGGTGCAAATTCCTTTGTATTTGTGAACATTAAAATTCTTTTAAAAAAAAAATATCTGTTCTCTTTTGTTTAAAATCTCTACTACACTCAATGCAAGCAATACTGAAATTTGATCAGCTATGGAATTGACTGAATAATGCGATAAGCTTTTTTCAAAGAACACTTAAATATTGTAATTTTTGAGCTCCAGAAAGATTTGGATTGTTGTGAACACTAGCATTAAATAAATCTTTAAATGTTATCCATTCTGTTAAATTTCCACTAAATATGGGTAAAGATAATTTTGGTAACTTTAAACTTTGATTCAGGTACGACAGGTTTGTCGCCATTTGCATATACAACCTTGTCCATCTTTAACTTACGAATAATTCTTAAGTGAACCTCCTCAATTTTCTCTAAGATTGACTATTCTTCCTCAACAAAAGTGTCTATATTATCATCATCGCAATTTGTATAAATTTCTCTAAACAGAGATTTGAAATCTTCTCTAAAGATTTTACATTTTTCTAAGCTTAATTCAGCTTCACCAAGTTATCATAATCTATTTTCTCGATGAATTTCATTAACTTTGTTTTCAAAACTCTAAAACTCTATTCTTTTTTTTTTTTTTTTTCCCTGTATCTGACATTTTGAAAATATTCTAAATTTTCGATTTTACTAATACTTTAATCACAATAAAGTAGCAATAAAGAAATGTCAAATGCAATTAAAATTCGTTAACGTTTTCACTCACCTCATACACTGTATCCATTGCGTAACTCTTAAGAATTCCAAACCGAAAGTGCATTATCAGCAACATCATGAAGACATAGAATTCTTATTCACAAGCATGCCTTTTTCTTGAACATCCGGCGTATTGCGGAACAAATATTATGTTTCGTAGCGGTATCTTAAATTTAAATTAATAAACATAAGAATACATCAATGCGAGTGGACTGTAGTTGAACTTTTATTTTTGCGATTTCAACTGTAGAACACAGCAAAAAAAGCAAAGCATGAAAGTTACAGTTAGCATTTACATGAATGCAAAAACAAAATGCGAACTGCGCATTGCGAAATAAGATCTCACAGACTGGCAGACGATTTGGTGGTTGAAACAAGTATTTTAATTTTTATCAGAAGCAAAAAAGAAATTTGATTGACATTTCTTTAACATCTTTTAATCAGAAAATATTTTATTGATTTTTAAATGAAGCATTTGAACTGGTAGTTACAAACTCAGACTATAAAAACTGTTATTAATGTTTGAATCATTGTGTGTAACAATTTAAAAACAGAACCTTAAAAAAGCTAAAATTTCAGTAAATAAAAGAGGGATAGAAATTATTTAGTTAAATGAAGTTAGAATCTGGTAAGTTACTAATACATCTAAGAATATTCTTGACTCAGACTATAAAAACTGTTATTAATGTTTGAAATTTCTTTCATTGTGTGTAAACATTTCTATTGTATTTAAAAACATGATTTGTTTTATTAACAGAGATCTTTGAACCTTATAGAAGCTAAAAATATCACTTCCTCCCAAATTAAAATTTATACAGTAACATAAAAGAGGGATTTAGAAATTACCCTCTCCCCCTTTTTTTAGTTAAAAGCAGTGGTTTCTCCCCTCCCCCCAGAAGAAAAGTACTTCCATCTTGCCCAAGCTAAATTATATCAAATCTAGGACTACATTTTCATTGCTTGGGAGCATCCTCAAAATAATGCTTTATTCTCATGAGAGGAAGTACTAATACATCTAAGATGATTTACTATCATGAGAAATTAGTTTTTATAAATGCACTGTAGCTTGTGCACTAGTGAATTATAAGAGTTCAAGATGAATAGTTTTTTTTTTTTAAAGAGCTATTTATTTGATTTAAATTAGGTTTTTGTTTTGAACAAAGTTACTTTTATAATAATAATAAAATTTACATTAAATTTTTAGGTGTTGGTTGGGATGTTGCTTGATTCCTTGCTGTATACCAGAATGTCAAGATATAGAGCATCGTTGTCCAAACTGCAAAACACATTTGGGTACTTTCCGTCGCATATGAACAAATGTAATATTGAACATGTCACAGCTGGGTGATTTTTCACATTCTATTGCCTTAAAAAAATCATGCCTGTTAGTTTAAAAGTATTAGCTATTCATAGATGGATATTCCTTACTCTAAGAGAAAATATTTTATATATTATACAGCACTGTTTCTCAAAACCTTGTTCTTTTTCATGTGAGGAGAGATGGAAGGAAACAGTTTTAACAGTATTTTTCCACTTTTTGTCTGCACCATGCTGCTGTAAAGGTGTTTTGTATATTAAAATGTTTATCCAAATTATATCCAATGTTTATATTTCTTAGAATGTATCAATCTCTGCTGTTAGGAGCTTTCAGATTTGTTTCTGCTAAATCAGATTTTATATGTATATAGAGTAAGAAAATTCCATGTTTGTTTCATCTCCAAAATTTTGTTTGATTTTGTATCGTGTATGTTATTTAAACAGATTTATCAACTGTTGAAATGTAATAAGTGAAATGTAATAAAAATGATGAATTATTAATTTTTGACTGATTTAAAAATCTTGTTGTATGTGATTTTCAGATTTAAAAATTGTTTGCTGTAGCTATGAAATGGTCTTTATCCTGTGTTTACAAATCTTGAGTAAAATCTCCTATGCACATATCGGTTAAAGTGTATTAAGCATAAGGTTTGAGAAACATGAATGCAGTCTTTTGACAGTAGATGACGCTGACCATTGCACTGGATTTCTTGACATCAGAATTACAGGTTGTGCTGCCTTTGGCAGGTTTCTCGTGGAGGTGAAAATGGAATTTTTTGCCAAAGAGAGTTGAAGCTAATGATCCAGGTAATCATAGCAACACCACATTAGGATTTAAATAATATGACCCCTTAAGCTATGAACACCATCTAGAATACCGGAGAATGAAAAATGACTTTGTAAGGGGTCTATAGGCTTTTTTTAAAGCAGAACGGATATACATTCAGTGATCATCTTAGAAAATAGTACCATTCACTTGTGGAATGTTAAGCACTGTAATGAATTGATACTTTCTGTTTCTGCCTTCTGTGCATTTAGTAAATTTCATTTGCAATATTTAAAAACACTGATTCGTTTCTCAATAGAATTATAAACTCTAGGATAACAATTATTAATAATCAAAGCTCGCTCTTTTCTTTTTTTTTTTTTTTTAAGCCCAAAGGGTGTTAGCCCAGATGGGCTATAAATTTTGTTTTGGCATTTTTTGCGTTGAAAACTTTAACCCTTTGGCGCGCTGTGGTCGCACTTTGAAACCACCAATTTTCAAATTTTTTTTCTCCTCTTCTTTCCAAAATTTTTGAGTGAAGATCAATTGATTACTGATCTTTTACCTCTACATAACACAAAATGACTGCAGAGTCATACATATTTAGGTCTTAGTACTTCAAATCGGATGCCTTTTAAAATTCGTTTTCAATGAAACAAAATAACTTTGTTTTATTTATATAAGCAACTTTAAATTTAAAAAGTTATTCATCGCACATCATGATTTCTATCATAAACAATAAAAAATAGCAATAATTAAGCTGCATATGTAAAGAAAACCCTCTATATGTATGGCATTTGCTTTGTGGTTTCAGGGCGCAACCACTGCAGCACACGATGCTCTAGTGGCTCTGCGGTCGCACCTTGAAACCACTGCTCTTTACAATGGCATTTTTTTTTGCTTCTCAGATAGGAATGTTTATTTTTACCTGCATATAGATTTCATTACTAAACAATACATGCACCTGCCTAGTAAAAAGGTCTTTCTTTTCCAGAGATTTTTCTCTGACCTCAGCCCACTTGCTCTCCAAGCTAGTATTGAGATTTCATAAATTATTTCCTGTGGTTTAAATTTAATGTAAATATTCTTTGCTATAATTAAAATTAGAAATTGCGTAAAGTTTTATTCAAATTTAAAATATTTTCTGAATATTTTGGGACGAAATACGAATAAAATAAATATGAATGGGAAATGAATGATCCGTACCAAAGCCAAAAAGACCAAGCCCCCCCCCCCCCCCAATAACATAGAAAACCACAAATTTCATGTGCCAAATGATAAACTAAATAACGCTGGACATAAAACAGTGAAATTTAGATCCAGGCAGTGTACATTTTGTAGCACAAGGAAGAAACCTTCATAGAAGATACATGTGTGAAAAACGTGTGGGTCTATGCATGTACCAAAATGACAAAACATCCTTTGAACAGTGTCACAAAAAAAAAAAAAAAAAAAAAAATGAATTGTTCTTTGATATTAAAAAAAAAAAAAAAGTTTTTTTTAAAATCCTTATATTACTGAGTTTTTATCCATTTAGCCAAACGTCCTTATTATGTAGATACTTATATTTTCACTGCTATAGAAAAATTACATAAATGTTTATTTTTTAATTTTTCCTGATGATTTACTTTTTAAAATAATGTAAAAAAAAAAAAAATTGTATATACTACCTCAGTAAGTTTCAAAGTGCTGTGGTTTCACAGTGCGACCACCACCCACAGAACAATGGGCAAGAGTAGATTTTTTTTAAATTCATATATTTGTCTCTAGGATCATAATATTCAATTTCTAGAGTTTTTAGTTAAAAAAATTATAAAATTAATATCACGCTCGTCAAAGGGTTAAATGTTGGTTCACTTTTCAAATTGTTGCCATCGAATATTACCGCCTTGTGTTATACTTAAATTAAATAATGAACAATCTGCATAAATGCATATATGTTTCTTGCATTATGATAAAACAGTCGTACCTAGGGCCATCAAATTTTGAATAATGTAATCTTCCACCAAATATGGGCATCTGGAAGCCCTAATTTGAAATTTGTTTTATTATCGATTTTGTAACACTTCAACTAATTTTTTATTCACAAACTCAACAATTTTACAGTGAGCAATGGCAAAACTGTACAGATTGCGATATTGCTGTTAAATTGAATTTTATGGTTTAAGTGCAAAGAACATTTAATAAATAAAGGTAACGCACAAAAGTTTTAAAAAAATCCCTTTTTGCATGATGTAAAATCTTAAAGCTTTCAGATTTTTTTAATCACAACTAGAAGCATAGCAGTTGTGAAAAAATTTCTCAGCAGTATTACATTGTCTGATGAACTGTAATTTAGAACAAATAGCAAAATGTCACATTGCTGTTTCAATTTCTTTAGCAATAATAACGGAAATAAAACTTTGAAACACTTCTTTCTAACTGAGGATTTCTTACTTTTTAACACTTTGATGGTCCTCATTGAGCAGCTTTGTATTACAAATTTACATCTCACAGATATCGCTTTGGAAAGAAAGAATTGCTTAATCTCGCTACCCCCGAAGGTTTAATGCGCCGAAATCACAATTTAGTTGATATTCACAATTTTCAAGTTTTGAAGGAATAAAAATGGTATGAGAGTGCGTAGCTATTGAAATCTCGCAGTGATTTCTTTGGATACCTGATCTACAGAAAAATCTATTTTTCTTCTTAAACGAATTCTATATGGTAATTCAAAATCGTATTATTCTTTATTCATACAAATAATAGGATACAAAAAAAATATATAAAAAATAGATTTACAGGACTAACCTCCATCAAATATTATTTCACATGAAATTGGCACCTGCAGATTTTGTCGTACGAGGCGGACCAACCCCCTCTAGCTACGCTGCTGTATCTGACATCACATGAATTTAAGAGATGAAGATTAAATTTCTGTATATTAATTATCCTTATTATCTGTATAAGAAATTAATGCAGGCCTTAATTATCTGTATAAGAAGAATGGGAACAAATTATCTGAATAAAAAAGTTTATCTGTAAATTATAAGACATGTGAATACATTGTAAATTTTAAGTTCTGATTTCTGAATTTCAGCTTTTTATTAGCACTTGGAAGTAGGTCTTATTATTTTTACTCAAATAGAAAAATTGAAGTTCAGTTTTTTTCAAAATAGCTAAGCCACAAGCTACAATACCTATGATAAGGAATTCGTTGACTAATTATCCATTAATATGCTGTACACATCAACTTATGCACCATAAAGAACATAAGTGGCATTGTTGCAAATCATGCATTGGCTTCAAAATTTTACAAATATTAAAACTAATTAACCATCAGCGGTACACAGTAATATTGCTGAAAACAGCTAGATCAACTCCAATTCATATTCCGGTGAATGAGCTGTGTCTAAGGAGTTTTTCGTGGTACCCCCATTTAAAACGTTTTGGGCGCCCACCAGCGGCCGAGCAGTAAAGACGCTGAGCACTGGTAGTTCGGTCCGAGGTTCGAATCCCGCAAACGGGCTGGCTGTATAGGCGTTTTCGTGGTTTTTCCCATGTGTAATGTGTATACGAGCCAGTTTCTCTTAGAAAGTCCTCCATGAAGGCATCCCTCCCTTTAAGCAGATAGCCTCTTTGCCATAATTGAATAACCCGTAAAACATTTTGGTATTTGGAACATAAAATAAAAATAGCGAATATTCTATTGTGGCTATCACTGAATACTGGTAGTTCGACCGGGGTTCGAATAGCAGCGAATGGCCTAGTTGCATGGGTGATTTTGTGATTTTCTACATGTATAGCATGGTACAAGCCATGTTTACTTAGAAAGTCCTCAACGAAAAAATCCCACCATTTAGGCAGATAGCCCTTGTGTGCTTTGCCCTAATTAAATAACCAAACCAATGATAACAGATACCAAATAAAAAAAAGTCTGTGCGTCGTATAAGATATTAAACTTTTATTATTTATTATTATTTAACATTATTATTAACAGCTTAAATCAAGATCTTGATCTCTTGTAATGGTTCTTTAACACTAGCAAAGCTTGGCTGTTTGAAAATAAATATAACTTAATGTGTCGTTATCTAACAGGTTCTTCGACTGCGAAATATTCGCCGAATTTTACGATTTATCTCTCGAAATGTTTTTAATTTTCAATTATGCCATCTTTCCTGCGATAAAATAACTATGCGAAGCTACTGGCTAGGATCTGTACCTAGGCAGTCACGGCCACGGGGGTATAAAATTTATGAACTTGGTGGTTCTGAAGTCCCTGGAAAAGGTCACTTATTGGCTGGCCTCGGAGTCTGGCACATCCTAGCGTGGCGTGGTTCTAGTAGTCCCGGGGGCAAGGGTAGCTGGGTAATGTCCCGCTGCGATGCGTAGCCCGAGCGACTGGCAGGTAGCAAATCTAACGACCAATGAATGCTGCCTGGGAATACCCCAGGTGGTGCACCAGCCCCTCTGAGGGGAGTTGGATCTGTAGTAGGGTAGATTAAGGGTCATGTGGAGCAGAGAAGCCCAAATTGTTGATGTTAATACTATGTGATGGACGAAATAATATTGAAATATTCAGCAAGAAGTGTCATATTGTAAAAACAATTGGAGACAAAATTTACTTTAACAAATCTTTATATAAAATAACACATTATCCCTGATATTTGAAGACTATTTTAAATCCTTTTTAGTTATGCTTAATTTCAACGCATTCAGTGAAGTGATCTAATATATAATGAGATTGTTCAGAAAATATAAA